CGTCCTCTCACTTTGGTGGAAAAACACCTCCGCCACGAGAAGGCAGTGAGTAGGGCTTCCTCAGCAGAGGCTATTTGGGATGCTTGGTCGCATGGGAGCATTTCGTGAGGTGCAAGGGCAGGGTGACCAGCCGTAACCCAAGACACCCACCCCTGACCATACTGAGGCCTTGGGAGGCATGAATGTCTCTTACTCACGAATGGACGACCACCTAAGCTACCGCTTGTTTCAAGGGTTGGCAAATACACTGATAAGTAAAATCAATTCTCCTGTGATTTATTTTCACACGAATTAGACGAATCTGGGTAGAATGGCACAACCTGATCGTACGTCACAAACCTAATCATTCACTACATCGTTTGTGCACCTGATGAAGTATAGAGTCGAGCGATTTGACTTGAACTTTTTTGTCAGAAAAGAAACAATTTATAGATTTTGGTTCTTGCCGCATGGACTCAGTCGACCGTGACGAATGAGCATCAAGTCTGGCTGAACGCTGTATTTGAGTGCCGGTGAAGCTTGCGGTAACTTCCAACACCTCGATCTTTTCCTGCAAAATTGGTCACTTCAGCAGTGAAAAAATACGTTTTCTGAAAATAGACAAAACACTTCCGGTTGGGCCGGCTGTTCGTCACCGTTGGCTAAGCCCATCTTGCACAAACTAAAAACGGCAAGTTGTTTCCTTTTCGGCAAAAAAGTCACAACAAATTGATCGACTTTTCTTAATTGGGTGCCGAGACAATTTGGTAGGTGCGTGAGTCTTTGTGATTTTCTATCATGCTCCACCATTTCAACCTGTTTCTATTAGTTGAAACCCAAATGAACCTTGGGCGAATTGCTTTTACCCGGCTAGGTTCTTACTTCTCTCCCTTCTCAATGGCTATTTGTAATGTTTCACAACACATCAAATCATCTCATCTATTAGTATTCGGGTGGTATTACTTACCGAATACATTGTAGCATTTTTCATTTACATTTATGGATTGGTGTTTGTGTTCCGGCAAACTTATTGTCTAGGCGTTTAAATCTGCATTTTTCACACACTGTTAAATACACTGTCCTGTCTCACCAGTGATTCTCAAATCGATTATTTTCAATATTTAGAAAGCGTATTTCTGTCCACACGTGCACGTGGTCTCATCAACCAGTCTTCTATCTTTCATCTTTCTCACACGCATTGTCTCTTAGGTCAGGTAGGACTGTATGAGGATTGTGAAGCTGATTGATAAAAAGATAACTGTCTGCTAGTGAAGATTGACCATTTTGTACGTTTTGTTTTGGACCCGATGATTCTTCCAAGATCGTACGTCAGTGAGAAAGACGAGAACGACAGAGAATGATGATCACAATGTAAAATCGAGACGACAGGTTTTTCTCTTTTGAATTACAAATGGCCTACTTCCTCGACACATTCCGACGCAGCCCGGATCAATCCGTTTTAAAGAAAAAGCGTTCACTGCTCTGACAAAATTCCGTTCTTTTCCACATACTCCTCCGGTCAAGCTCTCAATTAAGTTTGCTGCAACAAACGGGATCAGTCCGTCCTGCACATACTGAGCAGGTGAACAGGTGTGTATGTGTGTTTATGAATCTTACACAATGGTTCACTGGATTCATTGAACAATGAGTGCTTCTGATATCACTATGTGCAGTGGAGAACATTGGGAGTGGATAAAACACTCCAAACTATTATTCACGCGACAGAATTTATTTGATCGATCGGAAAAAGTATCAGTTCAGTTCATTTGTGCTGGCGTATGTGTGCGTTTGTGCTCTT